ATATCGTTGGAATCACTTTCAGAATGATTTTTTTTTTCCAGCTGATGAACTGTAAAAACATTGACACCCAATCAGAATCAATCCTGCTATAATGAGCTCGAGAATTTAAAGCGGCAGATGAGCATGCACTGAGAATAAACAGACGATATCGTTCGCTGGTGTGCACGCTATATCGTTATCTTTATATTATTGTTCTTGGTGTGAATGGGCCTCAAGACAAACTGGTGTCAAAGTGAATTTGCGCTCCAAATGCTCTATCAGCACCTTCTATAGGATATAAATGCCCTAATGTTTCTTCCTTTGAAATGTTACTGAAATGCTATCCTTTTTTTGCAACCCCCCACTTTCAAAAACCGCATTTTCAAAAAAAAAAAAAAAAAAAAAAAAAAATGATTCGTCTTTGTTTCCATAGCCGCTCTGCTCTCCACATCAATCTCAGTGGGTTTCAGTACTGACCTGTGAGTGTGCGTGCTAAACACCAATATAAACACACAACCAAACAGCTGTGAAAATATTCATGACAGTTTTTTGTGAAATGTCAGAGGCATAGAGTGAGAGGGGGAAAATATAGGCGCTGTTATGGAAATGCTCTGCACACGCCACCTGCAAATTTCTATGGATAATTTGCAGTGTTGCCACACACGTCAGAAGAGGCTGTCCATCGCTGTGACCTTTCTACCAATGCTTTCATTCTCCCGCTCTGCCATGCTGAAGGTCAAACGGAGCCCGAGTCTCAAATTGAACCTGTTGGTTGTAATTACCTTCCCAATGACATTTTGTTAGTCTTGGCCTGTAATTGTTTAGGAATAACTTTATTAATCATGTTGAAGCTTGGTGACATGATGTGATTGAACAGAATGAAATGAAACTAAGAAAGACAGCATATAGGTAGATTTGAACGGTACTTAAAGCTAAATAATGAGCAAGTGCATCATAAACGCATCTTCCAAACCTCGTTTTTGCTTACCCTAAATCATTATGGTGAGCCTATGATGATAATTTATATTTTAGAGCTATCAGGACAGATTTCACAAGAAACTGCATGCATCATATGGATAAATAAAGAGGACAAAAGAAAGCGAGACTATTGGTACAGTGAATGGTGTTGTAATAATGGGTGGTGACAGTTCATGTAATAAAATATGAATGAACATCAGCTTGGGTTTTCAGAAGTATGTTTAGTATGCATATTTGCATCACATTTACTGTGGATTGACAAGGTTCACAAACCAGTGTTTATGTTGATAAATGCAATCTATTAACCATTTACAACTTTGGTCTGTTTGACTAGCCAACTAATATTAGTTTCCACTGTTTTACATTACATAATATAAATAGCAATTATTATGTCTAATATTAGCACTGGCAAACTTTTGAAACATGATTTTAAAACAATAATTTTTAACAAATCAAAACAACAGTGGTATATAAGCTACTTACCTGCTCATATTTTTCGGATGCTCGTCTTTCTTTTGCTATTGGGGGAATTTTGATGCTGTTAGTGTTTTGATATTTGCAAGAATGTACGTAATTACTAGAATGTTTCTCCACAACTTGTAGATACTTAGTTACATAGTGTAGCTTTAAAGGTGACATATCATGAAAATCTGACTTTTTCCATGTTTAAGTGCTATAATCGGGTCCTCGGTGCATCTACCAACCCAGAAAACGTGAAAAAAGAACAACACAGTAAATTTTTTTGGAAAGCCTTTTTCTTCAAGGTTGTGAAAAATTAGCGCGTCAGATTTCACTCCCCCCGTAATGTAGAAAGGGGATCTTATTATAATAATACCGCCCCTTAATCAGCACATTTTCACCCACGGCACTACCATTGTGTTTTCGCAAGCGACAACGGTGTACCAGTTCTAACGCGATGGCAAAAGTTGGAGCAAAGCAAGTTAACTGTTCTGTCTTTGGTTGGACAGTCAAGCACAGAACACTATTTGTGACCTGTGCTGGCAAAATTGGACGAAAAATTACTGAGCTAGACCCGTTTGAAGTCGACATAGTCAGCAAACTCAATTCTGAGAAAAATCAAGGTGAAGTTTTCTGAAGGTTCCAAAACAAAATCACCTAGCAACATTGCATTGTTTCCTCCACTACCTTTCTTAATATTAATTACTATATTAATAATCCCAATATAGCCCTTTTTTATTTTTATTTTTTTTATTTTCGGCCTATATAGTAAGTCCTACTGTACTGCACGGATCTAATATAACGTTACACATCAGATGTTTTCCTCAACAGTTCCCCATACGTTCACTTAAGATATAATAGATTATGTTTGTGTGAACATCCTACTTAAATACTGTAATTCTATGTATACAGTATGTGTATATTTATCGGGACCGCGCTGGCGGAAGTGCCTTTATGTGTGCGATTCATATATCAGCCAGCATCAGCGCAAGAAGCAAGCAGAGAAAAGCTACTCACTCCTCTTAGAAAAACGTACAAATAAAGATAACTTTAGATGTTTAATTACGATTTGGAGCATTTGGGATTGCTAGAGGAGGGCTTAATGAACTAATTTTTGTGAAAACCTGAAATTCGGGGAAAAAAAATACATTTTTCACTTCTTTTGTCTGTAGCTCAAAATTAGCCCTTGCACATTTCGACTCATTTTGCCAGGGTCACATTTAGAGTGTTTCACATTTAGATTAGTGTCCCAGCCACAGATGAGACAAGAGAGCAGTGGATTTATTGATTTATTTACTGTATATTATGCTGCTGCCACACAGATCCAATATAAACATAGGATTTCTTTCCCAGCTGTTTACTTTCCCAGACATAACTGACTGTTTTTGTAACTCATGTGTGTTTTTAACATAAACTTGTGTGTATTTGACAGTTTAAGCACAATAAGACACGAAAGAGAGCTTAGTTTAATACTCACATGCTGTGTGACAGCCGCTTTCTGTGTGCGTGTTTCAGATGTGTGCACTCAGAAAACCCTATATGAGAAGTTTAAACTAATATGGTTTAAAGCACATTATTTTAGCGTGATAGACATGATAATCAAAACCAAACAGAGATGTTTTTTTAGCAGAGTATCTGAGGAACAGATGTCATGTAATGTCATGAATATGGACTGTGACTCCAACCATGTGAGAGATAAAGGGTGAGGTGTTTGGGAAACCTGTTTGGAAATAATAATTTCGCATTTCCATTTGGTGCCGCTAGTGGCACAAAAATTGCACACTTCACCTGTGAATGCTATGCAGTTTACAGATTTTCTTTCATTTCTCATAGGCTATTTTTCAGAGTATTTTGATGTGAACAAAATGGTGTGCTCTAAATGGGCCATTGTGGTCCTCTGCAATACTCTGAGGTAAAATATATCCAGATTTAGAAGAAAGACTAATTTTATCTTGTTATTGCATTAGTTAGGCCATTAGCTCTTGACACATTTTGACACCCCACAAGGAATTTCAAAAGAAATTGGTTTTTAGCACTGAACACCTATAAAAGGAACAACTTTAGGATAAAATATTCTCAGTTTGTCACAGGGGGACTTTATGATGAAGAAAATGTGAGTGGTGGCCCATGAAAAATTCACTGGCTCTGGGTGTTGTAGATGGTGGCCAAGACATTGCTATGTAGTTGCTAGGGTGGTTACTAGGAGATCAGCTACTGGCGCAAATCAAAAGAGCCCATATTTGATATTCTGGTCCCTAGATATGACTCATTTAATGTACGTCTAAAATCATAAATTATATAGTTTATTAAAGTAAAAGCACACCTCTCTCTAAAGTAAAAGCACCCACCCCCCAATATCAGCAACAGTAATAGTCATGCTCGCCTTTTTAAACACAATTAATTACAGTTTGTCCTTGAACAGTTTTTTTTTTTTTGCAGGCTATGACGAAAGGTTTCTGAGCAAAGCTAAAGTCAGCTGAACACACTGTTCAAGGCTGAATCAGGCTTAATTTACACTCTGACAAAGGAGACAATAGAAGAACAGGAGAATGTAGAGAGAGAAAGAGAGAGAGAGATTATACACTTCTGCTCACCACATTCCTTTCTAGAAATGGAGGAATGAGTAAATAGAGGCATTTCACCCTGCTAGGAGTTTTCTGCATGACCCGTCACTGGTTTTAGTTCATTACGGTGTGTGGAAGTGTTTGCGGTGAGTGAGTATTCATCACACTTACATTTCATCTTACATTTGAGCTTCTTCAAATATGACACCTTATATCTAGGTGGCTTTATAAACAATTTTCAATGAGCTCTAACTCAATCAAATTATAATTAGAATCATGGGAAACAGCGTAATAGCATGTGTGAGGATATGCAGTATGCACTGTATGTTCGGTGTCAGTCCATTTGCACATGCTTCACGCCAGCAGGAGGTTTTCTTTCTTCTGGCAGCCTGTCTCTCTCTTTAAAACGGTAAATATGCCATTTACATAAGAGACAAAAGGCTGTGCCCTGCTTTAGTTCCATTTTCTGCTGAGGTGCATTAGATAAGAACAGCACACAGATGAAAAATAAAAGAGGTCAAAGTAAAAATACCTGTCTGAAATGAGTGTAATTTGATGCTTTCTCTTCAGTAAAGTTGAGTAGCCTTTAAAATCATAAATCTAATATAATACATATTTCTTCATGTCATCAAAATGCATAATGCTACAGCACATACTTTTAGCACTTTCAAATTCTAAAAGGTAAATATAGGCCACAGGTGAAAAGTGAGAGACAAATTAGAAAGAAAAAAATAACAGGTTTAATTTGAAGACTAACAATATCAAGCTCCTTTAAGACAACAACGACCTTTTTAAACAACAAGCAGCACTCATGAGTCGTGTTTTAGTTGATTTGTGATTTCTAAGGAGTTTCTCTGCCAGTGCACATAAAACTGAAGGCCATGTGAGTAATTGGGCAGTGACGTCTGTGATTAGAGGACGAGCCAATTACAGCAGAGGAGAGGCGGGGCTTGTGTTGCTCCGCCCCTCTCTCTGCGCGTCTTTATGTGTGTGTGATCCCAGCGCTGACCCAGAAAAGCGCTCAGCAGCAGCAGCTCGTTCACATTAAAGGCTATAGTCACTGGAGAGACCTGCGCTGCTTTACAGAGACTGAGAACACCAAACAGCATCTCTACAACGACAGGGATCATTTGACGGTATGTGTGTTTTATATTGCGTTCATTTGTAAATGCAATCTTTGAAATCAGCATGTATTACCACTGTTTAAATATCTGGACATATGGTTGGATAGGTGAAGTGTTCTTCTTATTTCTGCTCTGGTTTTTAAATGTTCTTACACCTCAAAAATATGTTGCTCTAGTATGGTATGACTTGTTCTTAGAAAACAAAATGATGGTCAGTAAGACAATAAATATATCATTAATAATGCTACACTTGTAATAAGCGTCAGCATTTAAGTGTTCTTTATGTTCGCGTCTAAATATACGCTTTATATTTGTATTGCATTTTGTATTTGCGTTATTGCGATGCAGAGCTCGAACTGAACATTAACGCTTGTGAGTGTAGCTTCAACTTTTCTCTAAATACACAGTAAATTCAGTAGTCTACGTGCTGATGTTTAACGAAAGTTTCACTGTGTTCTGACAGAGATTGTGAAAGTCTGTAGCCTATATTTCATTTACAGACAGATTTCATCTTAGTAGAAAGCAGAGGAGCAATTCTTTGTTTTATGTAGACAGAGACAGAGAGGTGAGGCTCCTGTAGACCCCAGACGACATTGTGCTTTCATCTCTTATTTCAATCTCAAATGATGACATATAGACAAAACCATGCACTTGCAAAAATTCGTGAGTAATGCTTAAACATATGTTCTGGTTCACTCCTGAAGCTATTGATGTAAGAGATAACACTGGGCAGGGCATTTACTGGCAATGAATAGGGCTGGTTCTGAAAACATAAAATACAGTTATAAACTGTATGATTTAGGAAGATGAATTCATTACGTGTTTTATCTCAAAGTGTGTGCTTTATCTAGAGATCATAACCAGTTGATATATGCCTACAGATTAATACTTGATTATAATTGCATTGCACAATCTAGTTTAATATAATACACATTTTTAAAACTCCAAACATTGCCCTGTCATGTGAGTAGATCCAATCATTCGTGCATTTTGTCATTATTTCTTGCTCACATGTATCTGGCAGTGGGTTGGCTTTGTTTGCTGAACACTTTGTCCACCTCCCTGCCTGTTATTGTTTTGATCCTCCTGGCGGCTCCTTGATGCTCCTTACGGCAATATTTCTTCTGCAAAGGGCTCAAGTCATCATATATCTGCTTTGTTTAAACTCGCAACCACAATGGGTTGAAGGAATGTTGTGGACAATGCCAAAAATAAATAAATATATAAATGAATAAATATGTAAAATATTACAGATTTTCTTAAGCATTTTGTGTCATATATGTATGTACAATATTCTAAAATGGCTAAAACAACACATTTGCTTACTTGTAACTTACTCATAAGCAGCTTAAAACATCAAAAAAAGAAAACAATTGGCCAGTGGGTTAAGAAAAATTGTAAGTAAATTTATCTAATTTTAAGGATGTGTAGATATTTGTATTAGAAAACAAGACACGGATACTGATTATTATTTTAATTTGTAATTTGTTTTATATATATATATATATATATATATATATATATATATATATAAACAAAAAGTACAGATAAGAATACCGTTAAAGTACCGAATCGATAAGCAGTATCGGTAAGATTTATTGATTTTTTTAATTGTTTGACTGATTGATTGATTGTGGTGGACAAACTGAAATCAGTAAAAGTCAATTGTAATTGATTAACAAGCATGTGAGCCAAATTGATTTAGCCAGGAATCCTAATATTTGTATGTTCACTATTGATGGTTTTCAAGAAACTGAAAGTGTTTGTCAGCTGATACTGAGAACCTGCTTGAATATTTGCCCCTGACTGTTGCCATTCCTCTCATATCTCTGCAGTGGAGAAGGCATGGCTGAACACATGATGATGCCTATGACTCACGGCTCTGCTGGCGGAGGCCTGCATGGGTATCGCATGGGAATGAATGGCCCTTCTCCACACGGACACCAGCCCGGTCTGCGGACCCTTCCCAACGGGCAGCTCATGCACTATGGCAGGGTGCCCCAGAGCTCCATGGAGGCGGCCATGATGGAGAGGAACGTGATGAACGGCGTCATGAACGGTCAGGTCAATGGCCAGATGAGCGGAGGACACCCCCACCAAATGCAGCAACCCAGTATGATGTACGGAGGTCCAAATCAGCAACCGCAGGGTCACCCTCAAACCCAGCACCATCATATGCACCCCCAGAGCCAGCACCCACAGCAGTATATGGGTGGAGGAGGCCTTACACCATCTCAGCAGCTTATGGCGAGCATGCATCTTCAGAAACTCAATACCCATTACCACGGGCATCCACACGGACCCATGAACAGCCATCACATGGGAAACGTCCAGCACAGAATGGGTCCTGCTCAGTTGGCAGGCATGCAGATGGGGATGGGTGGGCCGGCGTTGGGCCTCAACGTCATGGACATGGACTTGATTGATGAGGAGGTTCTAACGTCCTTGGTGCTGGAGTTCGGGCTGGACCGGGTTCAAGAGTTGCCTGAGCTTTTCCTCGGACAAAACGAGTTCGATTTCATCTCGGACTTTGTGTGCAAGCAGCAACCAAGTACTGTCAGCTGCTGAAGTTCTGGAATCAGAGAAAGACTTGGTCGCTAAGAAGAAGCTGGGGCAAGACAAGAAAAGCTAAAACAACCAGGTTCTCCGTATCTGTGAAGCTGTGCTATGCATGTTGCAGTGCACGCTGTCTTTCAATGAGGGAAACAACTTCTGGATGTTCTTCAGCACAATTGTGGCTTTGGCGAGCAGGCCTTGTCTTGTCCCATTGGTCATCCTGGATTGAGGGTGACCAAGTGTCCCAGGGTTGAATGTAACTTCACGTGGTGGAAAAAGAAGTCTGCTTGGAACTTTGCAGAAACTGCTTTGCATCCTTAGGGGGCAACTAGAATCAATAGCATTTAGAAATGTATTTATGTATAACACCTACCAAAAAGCAGACATGATCTGTGGTGATAGAGACTTGCCTTTTCTCAAACTAACCCGACGACTTGTGATAAAAGACCTCTGAATGAGTGTGTTATGTGGGAATTGAAGGCTGGTACTTCAAAACGGGTTGTTTTTCCAGTAGCTCTTAATGATGTTTGAAACGGTAAGGGGGTGGTGAGGTGGTAGCGGTTGGGTATGAAACATTATTCGTGTGCAGTGTTACACTGTACATTTGGTTATTTCCATTCTACTACTATTAAAAATTTGACTGCCTAGTAAAAATTTCTCACTTACAACACTCATTGTTTTGCTACATCTGACTGAACAAGACCCAAAATGAGTGTCTTATGGCGCTTTTCCACTGTGTGGTACGACTCAGCTCGGCACGGCTCAGCACGGCTCTGTTTGCGTTTCCACTGCAGTTTAGTACCGCTTTAGAGTGGGCGGGATTATTCACATGTCGTTATAGTTGCGCCGCCTCTATTGCCGCGAGACTCCTGAAAAACTTTTATTCCGCGTTGCCCCATCAAGCTTTCGCTGGATCCGCTCCTCTGCTATCAGTGAGTGGAACGTCTGTACTTCCTCAACAGACCACGAAACAGCCACTTTTTGGTTGTTAAAAAAAGGTGCGCTCATTCAAAACAGTTGCGTTCGATCCTTCGCTGGCTGTGCTGATTTAAATCTAGCGGTTCTGTTGTGTATCTGTGTAGCAACGATTCTCTCCGGCCAATCCGTGATCAGCAGAGTTTGCACATCACGTTTTGGTAACAGTACGGTTCACTTGGAACCTCAACCGAGGTGGTACTGAAAAAAGTACAAGGTACTGTACCCAGTGGAAAACCCCCCAAAAGTGAACCGTACCTTGCCGTACCATGCAGTGGAAAAGCGCCATTACATTCACTATATGATGTGTCTTGATACTTTCAGGAATATTTATGTGTTAGAAAAACTTGCCTGGAAAATGGTGGAGTGTTTTGTAGCCTCCCTTACCAAACGCTGAACCTGTGCTCCCTGCTGACGAGTCTAAACTGCCTTCTAGTTTTTTTACACGGATACTTATAAATATTCACTGTAGACATTACCTTGTTTCATGAAATGAGGAAGAAACTGCTGTCTTAGGGTGCTTTCACACCTGTAGATCGATTGCTTTGTTCCGAAACGGGGATTAAAATTATTACAATGTTGCTTTTCATTCTTGGTGCGGTTCGCTTTGGTTTTTAAATCTGATTACATTTAAATTACACTTACAACCTTCTTGTTAATTGAGGTCAGCATGGTCAGTCATCTCAGATGGCCTGATAATTACAAAATGGACATGTTCATTTGCTTGCTATTGCTCAGGGTGTAATGAAGAGTTGGGAACGGCTGGCCTGCTGAGTTTGACAACTTCCTGTGTCGTTATGTTGCCAGTTCTTGAGTTCTCTGTGGGGGTTGGGTTGGTATGGAAATAGCACAGCATACAGAACTAGTAGGTTAATCTGTTCCGCCAGAGCTGGGCTCAACTCCCTCGACTCTACCCTCCCCAGTTCGGGTAATTTCTGTACGTACGGCTTGGGATTGTGAACAGTTGCCACCGAGAGAGAAAAAAAAAAAAAAGAAGCACAACTTGATGGGTCAACAACTCCATTTACAACTCCATCTTGGCTGATTGTTTAGGGCTTTGATTCGTAAGGAACGGACAAAATTTGATCCCGTCAGCCGCATTTCTCGTATCAGTAGAGACTGGAACGTCTTCCCCAATATCCTTATTCTTGAGAAACTCTGATAATTATAAACAATCCACATCTAGAAACAGAAAAATCAAATTATCTGTAGATTTGTAATTGATGATTGAATGATTTATCACATTCCCACAGATCCAATCATGTTCATTTTTGTTTTGTTCTGTTAAAACTTTTAAACCAATGCTACTTGAGTTTGGCAGTCTGTAAATCACAAACCACCCTGCAGATGCGCCAGAATGTCCCTTGCAGGTGCGATTGTATGTTATTCTCTTTCAAACTCTGTGCTGTCATGTACTGTCGCCATGCTCCCACAAATGCTTTTTTTTAAATGTTGTTGATTCTATCTTAAGAAAATGTATTTATTTTCATTGAAAATAAAATATTTATTTTAAGAAGTGGCTTCAGTGAGTGTAATTGCTTGTCTAATTTAATGTTGCTTGTGACAATCACAGGACACAACAAATTCACACCGTTTCTGAACTGACACATTGATTTGTTCTTCTCTCACAAATAAAAAAAAAAATGAATAAAGTGATATCAAACCCATCTCTTACAATATCAAAATGTATTTCATTTCGTTTTTTAAATACTGTCATAACTAAATCAGGTGCTGAAATCAAACAGACTCGTGAGAGATGAGCCACTTACTGAAAAAGTGTAGATATTGAAGCACCCAACAGTGTCGTTGTGCTTATTTAATTTAATAATCCAACTGCAACATTATTGTATAAGCAAAACATTCTGGCAAGAACCAAACTTGATAAATATGCTTCTCAATCCCAAACACTGATGGCAAATGTCAGTTGAATTACTGCACAATTACCATATGAAAAAGTCTTTACTTTTGTCAAAACATAAATGATTAGAACAATCTAGAAATCTAAAGGCACCATCTCTTTTGTTTGAAGCCTATGAGCCTCATTTATAAAATGTGCGTAGAGTGTGATCTAAAATCCACACCAACGTTCAGGTAAAAAAACGGTTTTAGACTTAGAAAACTTCTTAGTGCCATCTCTGGGTCTTAGCAGACGTACACACTTTTTGGTGTCCGAGTACTGCAGGTATTTAGCAATTTAAGTAATTATTGCCGCTCACAGTGCTTAAGTAAAGGAATTGACTGTGCTCTATTATATGCTAATGACATTAATTAGGTGGCGTTTACAAGGTGGAGATCTGAAACCATTCAACTGCGCACAATTTCAAGATCAAATGCAATCTATAAATTTCACATCTGAAAGAGAGGTGTACGCACATTTTTTTTTCGAGAAATGATCGTAAGATCAAATGTAGGACGGTTTCTCTTGCTTCTCCCTCCAGAAGCAAGGATGAAGACCTGTGATTTAAAGGGATAATTCACCCAAAAATTAATATTTGCTGTTAGTTTACTCACACTCACAGGCCATCACCCAAGATGTAGATGACTTCAGTAGAACATTAAAGTTGAATTTTAACCAAACCCAAGGCTCTTGGTGATTTATAATATGCAAGTCAATGGGTGCCGTAACTCTGAGAGCCAAAGAAGAAAGTACAGGAAACACAACATTAATACCCAAGGCTCCTGATGATATATTTAGGTCTTATAAAGCGATACAATCAGTGTGTGCAATGGTTTTCTGCACACTCAAGAGTCTGGAGCTCACGCTTTCTGTCACATGATGATGTATGTGTGGTAGCAAACTAGTGCGTTACTGACGCCATTGTTGCTTACAATGGAGAGGAAGGACTTGTGTGCAGAATGTGGCATCATCAGCCTTTGTGATGCCAGGTTATGCTTTAATTGCTGGTGGTAAACTGCTTCTGAAGGTGTTTGGTCTGCACATGCATCCTTCCTCTCTGTTGTAAACAACAATGGCGTCAGTTCAGGCATGATTTTGTCACCACACATAAGTCACCTTGTGACAGAAGGTTTGAGCTCCAGAACCATTCTTTGAGGCTCGGGATTTCGGGTAATACTGTTGTAAATAATGCTCAGTTTCTTGCACAATCCTGTCATTTCACTGCATAAGATCTCAGTATATCATCAGCATCCTCAGGGATTAATTTTGTTCTTCCTGTACCTGCTTGTTTGACTCTCAAAGTGACGGTAGCTGTGCTGCTGTGAGCATGTAAGAAATACTGCTGCTGCAAATATAACATACATGCAATAACCCCCATATAGCATACATGAATCACCTCATAGCACATCCATACAGGTGGAGCTGGGGAAGGTGGAGGGTTTCTGAAGCAAGCTGCAACTGCTACAGCAAGCACTAGTCATATATTTGAATGCTGCGAAGCGAGCTCATTGGCTCATACAGGAGAGAACCAATCATCTGAGCCATGTGATAATGATGTCATTAGGTCAGATTGAATCTGAAGCAAGCTGCAACTGCTACAGCAAGCACTAGTCATATATTTGAATGCTGCGAAGCGAGCTCATTGGCTCATACAGGAGAGAACCAATCATCTGAGCCATGTGATAATGATGCCATTAGGTCAGATTGAATTAGACCTATCGGACTGCGCCATCTAGAGTTTCATGCCAGAACTCAACTCTATATTTACATAATTCCAGGTGTCTTATTTACAGGTGCCTCTTCAGATTTTAGAGCAGATCTGTTATCTGAGAGTGGACGTTCCTATAGCCGACAATCTAATCCATCTTACTCAGTGGGATCAGGTCTGAGCGTCTCATCTGACGGACAATTGCTCACAGTCTATTGCTTTGTTCTGTGTCGAACATGCCAGACTCCATTTACATAAAATCCATAAACAGAGATGGGCTGAAACCTGTTACCAGAAAGTGGATTTGAACTTCCCATACTGTATACTATAATATTCACCAAGCCAATACTAGCCAACATGTTTCTACAAAAAACAGCTTTCATGTTCAAACAGTAACTATAACACCAAAAGCCATATGTATAAAGTTGATATTAATCAGTGGTATATATATATATCGCTGAATGATTGGAAATCCACACTGCATGCTAATCATATCACAGTCTCCAGTCACAACCATGAAATGTCACTGTCTAGCACCTCCTTCAAACCACACTGCAACTCATCTGAAAGAGTGCAAGTTTATTAGCCTGAGTACTGTGAATTTAGATAGGACTGAGATTAATAATTCTGGATAGCTGTCTGATAGCTTGTTAAAACTATTATTATTGAATTATTATTATTCTGGGTAATACAGAATGTGTTTTATTTATTCATTTCTGAGTTTGAGTTCATTTCTGAGTTGTTCTCTTATTTGACCCACAAGAGTCTTTATAGCAACAATGCATGTGTTTCTGAAGAAGTTTGTTGTGTTTGGAACAATTTTAGAGTCTGATAGTGTCTGGTCATTGTTTAATGTATGATGCCTAGTATTTCCTCTGTAACTATCTACAAAGTTGGCAAGTGTATCCTAAGTAACACATTTTGGGTTATATAAATGTTTTGCGAACATTTGTTTTGAAATATTCTAAACATATTAAAATGTTCAATCTTCTTGTCATGATTATAACATTATTTGAAGGTTACAAAAACATTTCTTAAAATATTTTACTTTATTTTCACCCAAAATATGTTGAATGTTTATTTGAACGTCAGGTTTTACTGTAGTGAATATAACGTTATTTGAAGATTACAAAACGTTTCTTAAAACATTCTTTTTTATTTTCACCCAAAATATAACATTATTTGAATGTTTATTTGTAAAAAGAATGTTAA